TGACGGGGCGGGAGAGCAGCTGGGTAGACTGTGGGCAGCAGGTGTCTGGGTGTCCTCAAGGTCTGACCTTGCCACCCTGGGAGGCAGAGCAGTGTCTCCTGAGGACACATTAACATGTGTGTGAGCAGTTCTGGCAGCTGGGGAGGAGCCAGGGATGGGTTTGTGACAAAGCCCTTTTCCCAGGCTGAAACTGAATGAGAAAGTGTCACTGGAGAAAATCAAATTCCACTGCATGGATCACGACGGCGGGTCCGTTTTTGTGTCACCTGTGGACAAGGAGATCTTGCAGGCCCAAAAGAAGGTAGGAAGGAGCAGAGGTTGGTTCTCGCTGGGGTGAGCCTGAAGATAGAACCTGGGGACACCAGTCAGAGGAGCCCTGGGGAGGGGAGGGAGCTGCTCTGTGTGTGGCTCCTGTGGGGACTGGCAGGATGGAGGGCTGGGGAGGCAGCTTTCTGTTCCAGTCCTGTGCTTCCAGGGGTTAAAAAGTAGAAAGAACTTTTTCTTCTATGCTAAAGAAGAAACAAGGAGAAGATCTTGTGAGCAGATGCCCTTGCCCTCTTCTCTGTACTTTCCATGGGCTGATGGCAGCACCTCACAACCTTACGGAAACAAACCCTTCCTACTCGTCCCTTCAGGTGGTGGAGCACATCGAAAGTGACCTGGGGGTCCGAGTTCAGCATGTGTCAATCCACAAGATGAAGTATTCTTTCCAGATCTGGTCAGCCATGATGTCGTCCAAGGACAGCAATGGAGAGGTGCGTCAGACCGAGCTGGCAAAGGCACAAATTTGGTGGCAACAGGGAAGAATCAGCTGCCTGGGGCCAGCACTGGAGAGCTGTAGGTTTTCCAGACCTGCCTGAGGGCTTTCCCTGCTCCTTTTGTCCCCCCAGTCCTCTCTTCATCTCTTCCCAAAGACACACAGCCCTTTCTCCCTTGCTCTCCCATGGGATGAGGCCGTGGCTCCCAGCAGAGGAGCAATGTGGTGTAGGGAGGGGAAGGTAGTTTTGACACATTGACCTTCATGGAGGTTGGTAAGTCAGCCCAGCAGGGAGCATCCCACCTCACTCTTGGCTCTGTGCTGTGTCTTCTGACGTTGCAGGCTGGGATTAACACCTTTTAGGATGCCAGGACAAGCAGGGCATTAGCAGCTTTCCAGCAGCAGGCCTGCCTGTGTTATATTTCCCTTGAATTGCAGCCACTGTGCTATGCTCTGTGCGTGCAGGGAGTTATTTTATAGAGAAAAACCCTCTCAGGAGTGTCATACCTTGTGCATTCCTGGCACGGGGGGAGTGGTGGGAAACAACACAGCCCCATGCACTAAGGAGGGCACATCTGGCTCCTCTGCCTCCTTCCTGGTCCCATGGCCATATCATAGGAGTAAATGCCTGGACATTGTCTGGACATCATCCCTTGCATCATGCCCATTGGGTGCTGGAAGGTGCTGCTTTGGGAGGCTCTCCCTCCTTCTTCCTGCCTCTGGCAGGGAGAGATGCTCCTGCTGCCACCCTGGATCAGTGCTAGAGCTGCGGAGCACTCCTGATGGGCATCTCCTGTGTGAAAATGGGAAGGGCTCACATCAGGATAACGGGACAGCTGGAATTCCACTGTCCCTTGCAGCCTGTGCCTCCCTGCTGTGTGCTGGCAGTGCTGACGGGGGGAGTGGGTGTGTTACAGGAGGCACAGCGATTCACAGACCTGCTGGGGGACCACGGGAAGCCGGTGTGGCCGCTGTGGGAGCTGATGAAGTGGCTCGTGGGGATGTCTTCTCACACCTTCCCAGCTATTGGTGAGGCTGGGGGGAGCCCTGGGGAATGCAGAGGCAGTGGTGGGGCGGATGAGTTGTTAAATACAGGTAGTCCCAGTGCCTAGCAAAGGGACTTGGGGTTTGTGCTGAGCAGCTTCAGCCTGGTTTTGTAATGACACTCAGTGTCTTTGAGTCACATTCAAGCTTGAGGGAGAGTTGGCTGGATCTTTGATGCATGGAAGTGGGTATCCTAGGTGAGGATGACGAACTCCTGCTGTGAGCCCTGTCAGAACTGCTGGGGAGTCTAGAGGGAGCCAGTCAGGGTCTGCACTGATCTGGTTTCATAGCAGCAGGTACCGGAGAACCCTAATCAGTGCAGCTGGGCTGTTGTCTAATGAGTGCTGAGGTGGCTCTGCCAGCTCTGCTCAACCCCAGCACCTGGAAAAGCTGGAAATGAGGGGCAGGCTGAAAGCTTGTCCCTTGGCAGAGCTGGGGGGATGCTGCCCACAGAGTCATGCCAGGGGCAATGTGCTGTGGGTACTGGTGGGCAGGGGGACTTGGGGGGTGCACTGGGACTGGGGGATGCTGCATGTGGCCAGGCAATGCGCTTTCTGCCCCACGTAGCCCACAGTCTTCTCGCTCCATGTCCCTATTTGTACCCTTTCCCTGCAGCCCTGGGGCTGACGGAGAAGCTGATGAAGCTCAACCACAGTGGGAATGCCAAGCTGGTGAGCATGGGGAAGAGCCTGCAGGAGGAGATGGAGGCGCTGCTGGGGCAGGACGGGGTGCTCCTCTACCCCTCACACCCCACCATCGCCCCCAAGCACCACTCCCCCATCTGCATGCCCTTCAACTTCGCCTACACGGGTGAGCAGCTCTGGCTCTTGTGGGGTGCAGGTAGGGCTGCCCAGGCTGGCAGCCAGGGTGTTGTACCCAAAGTGTTCCCATTGCTGACGGTGGGCTGTGCAGCACAGAGAGGGGTCTGGCTGCTCCACAACGAGGGTTGTCACGCTTTGTGCCACGTGGCATCTTTCACCTGCTGTCCACAGCGGGTCAGGTCTGAGTGATGTGTCTAATCTCAAGGGCCACTGTGCCCCAGAGGTGTTCCAGCTACCGCTGTGGTTTAGCAGGAACCTGAGAGCCAGCATATCCTGGGGTACAGTCTGGGGCTCCCTGCATGGCTTCCCTGTGGCCTGAGCACCTTGGTGCTAGTGCTGGTGTCAGTGCTGCCTGGCTTTGGAGGGATGGAGGAGTAGAGTCCCAAACCAGACCTTGGCATGCTATCCCTCGTAGGTGCTATTTGCACTGGGAACCTCTGGCCAGTGATATCCCTTGTCACCATGCCTCAGCACCACCGTGTCAAGCACCAGCTCCCAGGAGTAACACGACGCGCCCGGGGTGGGAGAGCCAGGCAGTGGTGTGTCCTGGTCACTGTGCTCACTCTGATCCATCCTTTTCTCTTCCAGCCATCTTCAATGTCCTGGGCCTGCCGGTGACACAGTGCCCGCTGGGGCTGGGCAGCGAGGGGCTCCCACTGGGCATCCAGCTGGTGGCAGCCGCCTACAACGACCACCTGACGCTGGCGGTGGCCCGGTACCTGGAGAAGGCCTTTGGAGGATGGGTTTTGCCAGGGAAAGTTTAGCCTTGGGAGGCAGGAACAGAGAGGGTGTGCCCAGCGAGGCGGTGGCAGGTGCTGATGTTCCCTTTGCATCCCACTGTGCCCTCCTGGGAGCAGCTGGTGGTGCCTCCAGCCATGGGGCAGCCGGGCTGTTGCTGTTGGATTCTTCATCCCTGCAGCACCTTCTGTTAGGGAGAGACCTGCCCTCCCTGAGCCCCTCAGGAGCCCCGGTGCTGCAGGCTGAGGACGTCCTGCCTGCAGTGGGCATCCACCTTTTCCTGGCCATGGAGATGGCCAGCGCTGTAACCCTTGCTGCTTTTTGAAGATGCTGAGTGTGATCTTGGCAGAGGAGATGCTGCCAGACTGCTGGGGGGCAGCCACTCAGCCCCTCTTGGGGCCCCCCTGGGCACATGAGGGTCCTTCTTGGCCTGACCCTGCCCACAAGACTGGACTGTGCCTGCTGCACCCAGGCTTGGCAGCCCCCACAGCCCCCCTGGTCTGCTGCAGCATTCCCACTGCCCTCTGACCGAAAAGGGAGAGGGGCTGAGGGGGCTGGGCTGAGCCCTACGCCCGCCTCACCAGAAGTGCTTTGTGGGGTAAGGGGTGCTGGGCTCTGCCATGTGTGCAGCTCCGGAAGGAGCTGTTGCTCTGAGAGCATTTGTAGCACTGGATAAAGTATCTCCTGCCTGTTTCTTCCCCTTCTGTCTGGGAGGGATCACCCCTGCCACCTGCCCTGCCAAGCTGCCTGGCCTCTGCCCAGGAGTGGACATGGGCAGCGATGTGGGGAGCTGTCTGGGTGGACAGCAAGCACAAGGTGTTCTCAATGAGCGTGGTATTAAAGAGTCTGTCCAGTCTGCTGTGGCCATGTGTCCTTGTTCCTGATGGCTGTCACCCTGCCAGCTCCTACTGGGCACTGGCCCCATCTCTGCTCGGGATGTGTGGGATCTGCCCAGTGCTGCTGGCTGTTGGAGCAGTGCAGGCACAGTAGTGGAGGTGCTGGCATCAACCCCAGGTGTGGCACTTGGACACTGTAGGCCTCTTGTTTTGGAATGCCCTAGCTGATGGTGACTGCTCGGCCCCTGGCAGCGCTGAAGAGTGCCAGCAAGCTCCACATGCTGCCATCCATGGCTCCATTAGTCCTTTAGTGGTTGCAACAGCTCTTGGGAAGCTCAAGTCTGGCTGCTTTCTATCCCAATGGGCTGCCAAAGGCCCGGGGCTCGTGGGGTGATTCACAACCACGTGCAGGTCCCTTGGGGTCTCTAGGGCAGAGCTGTGGTCTCAACCCTGCGTGTCCAGACTGCAGCACTAGTCTTGGCAAGGATAAAACTTGTTGGTTTTGCAGAGAAGTCCTGGCCTATGTCTACCCTGCTCTGTGTTGCCCCTGGCCCGACCCCCATGCTCCTTTCTGTCCCCAGGCCACTGATGGTCCCTGCAGGGGGGTGCAGGGTGCTGGGATGAGGTGCAGGCAGCATGCAGCAGGGTGCTGGCACTGGCTGTGTCTTGGCTCTGGCGTGCAGAGGGCACTGCTGAGCACCCATGGCCCGCAGGGATGCTGCCAACAAGGAAGGAAGGAAGGGAAAAAAAACAAACCCTGGCTCAGGAAAAAACGCACAAACCACCAAAGCCAAATCACATGTCATTGGACGTCTCCCAGCGCAGGGGCACAGAGGACTCAGACCTGTCCCCAGTCTGGAGGGAGCCTGGCAACTGAACAGACCCTGATGACGCTTCCAGTGAACGCTCAGAGCCGGATGTGGGGCTGCTGAGCTGAGGGTGTTGCGTTTTACAGAGCGTGGTGGGCACAGGTGGGTTCCTGATACAGCAGGGACCAGCGAGGAACTGCGTGGGTCAAGGTAGGGGGGAGCCTCAGGTGCCATGACAACAGGGATGCAGGCAAAGGAGGGGATGTTGTGGAGAGGGGGTTAAATCCCCACAATCTCAGCCAACGGGATATCCACCAAGCCATACTTTTACAGTTGCTACAACACGGGGAGGGTTGCTGAGGTTTTCCCTCTGGCCAAGGCAGAAGGGGAGCAGGTGTGCTGGGGTCATTGTGGGGCTGGCAGGGACTGGCCCGTGGCCACCCTCACTGCTGTGGAGGCACTGTCTCCCCTGTGCTGCCTCCAGCAGCTGGAGAAGCCCTGTCCCTGCCTCTGCAAGCAGCTGGTCCATCAGTTCCCCAGTTCTGTGCCCCCGGTCTTGGGGACTTCTCCCTCCAGGCAGAAACGGTCCTGCCTTCGCTGGGGTCTGCTGCTAAGCCGGTAGGGCTCTTGCTGGCTTCGGGGTGGGGGCAATCCCTAAACCATCTGCCTATGCTTCGGCTCTAGAGTTTCAGAGGTCTTGCCTCTGAGCCCTCACCCACGGTTTGCAACTCTATGTCCCTGCTTGTTGGCTGCTCCTCCTTGTTTCGAGCTCTGAATGCTGCAAGGGACAGAAAACAGGGACAGCATTTTGTACCTGCCTGCCGAGGTGGCTGTGCTCGTAACATTAGCACAGTGTGAAATGGGAAGAGTGAGAGGCAGCAGCTGCAGTGAGCCAGCCCTGCGGGTGTCCTGTCTGGCCAGGGGATTCTCCCCTCCCTTTGCCTCTGGAGGTGGCCCCAGGCTCCCCACAGGCTCCCCACAGTCCTCACAACTGGTGGCTTCAAAGCCCTTGCACATCTCACCCAGGAGAGGAAGGTTACCTCCATGACCAACAACAATAGGGAAAGATTCCTGGCGGCTGAATCATGGGGCAAGGCCATGGTAAGGAGGGGCTGGCCAGGTGTCAGACAGAGGTGCCCAGTGGGACAAGCCTCTGCTGTGGTTCACAGGACTGAGGTCTCTGCTAACAGCCCCAGGGGGTCCCTCGGGGTGTCCCATTGCACCTGGTGGGGTGCCAGCACACACGGGGCGCTCCCCATACCAGGGAGGCTGTGGGAGGGCTGGGGGTGTCCTGGCAGCGGTGTCACCGGTTGTGCCAGTGTGAGTCATGCCCAGAGCTGGGCTGAGTCACCTCCACAGTGGTGTGAGCGTCGGGGGAGGAGGTTTCACAGACCCACATCCCCGTGACGTCGGCAGCCTCTCCGTAACAGGCACCTCTGTGCCACGCTGGGCATGCAGACTCCACGGGCGAGGCTTGCCTGTGGCTGGTGTCGCTGGCTGAAGCTTTTCGAAAAAAATATCCTTTCTCTAACCACAGGTCCAAGCTGCCCATCATGCCTGCAGGTGGCAGAACAGCTCCAGCACACCCATCCCTCGCCACAGCCCCCGGTGCGGCAGCGTAGCGTGGGGACAGATGGACGGGCCGTGGTGGGATGAGCCCTGCCCTGCACCTGCTGCTGTCTCTGGCCAGCTGCTCCCTCCTCTGGGGTAAGCTGGTGCTGGAGCTACCGCTGCAGGCTGGGGGGACCCTGGGTGCAGGGCAGGGGTGGCACAGGGACACCTCTTAGAGCTACAGAAGGTACCTGTGGAGAGGAGGGGACCGAGTGGTTTTCAAGTTGCGAGAGGAAAGAAAACCCCAGGGTCAGCAGCAGCTGTGTCAGGGTGTCGGCGCCTTTGGCAGGGGCATGGAGAGGGTTCTCTTGGTGTGTGAGGCACTGGGGGGATGCAGGTGCTGAGCATCCTGCTGCAGGGGCAGTGTTTGCCCACTGTTGCCGAGCTGAAGCTGGGGACTGTGGGAGGGGGAACCTGTGCAGCATAACCACGCAGTGACTGGCCAAGGAGGGGACCCTGCAGAGCAGAGCAGCGCTGCCTGACACGCCTCTGCCCCCTCCCAGGGATGCTACTGCGGCCACGGCGTGTGAGGCTGGAGGCACAGAACTTCCACGTGTGGCTGCGGTGGGAGCCGGACCCCAGCTCGCCCAGCCATGCCACCTACCAGGTGGAGTGGAGGACGCGGTAGGTGGGGAGGAGGGGGCAAAGGGTCTGGTCCCCCAACACCCTGACAGAGGCTGTTGGGGCCCCTTGGTAGCCAGAGGGTTGCTGTCTGGCAGTAAACAACACAGTGGAACAGAGCAGTGGAGTTGACAGGGATCGGCTCGTCCCACCCCTGCACAGGCAAGGTCAGCTCAGGACAGTGTCCTGTTGGGTTTTGAACACCTTCAGGGATGGAGCCTCCACACCTCTCTGGGCAGCTTGGTGCCTTTCCTGGTCACTCTGCCAGTAAAAAACAAAGGGGTGGCTTTTATGCTGGGGTTTTGGGTTTGAGGTTTTTTTTCATTATGCTGAATGGGATTTCCTGTATTTCAACATGTGGCACCTGCCTCTCGTCCTTTTGCTGGGCATTGCTGAGAGGAAGGCTTCATCTTCTTTACTCCATTGTGTTGATAAGACCCCTCACCCAAAGCCACCTTTCTCTGAGACTCAGCAGTCACTGCTCACCTGGCCTCCCTCGTAGCACAGAGCCTCAACCCCTCGGTGGGCTCTCCCTGCCCACATGTGTTTCCTCATCGCAGAGAGCACAGGTCAGGGTGTAGTGCCAGGTGCCATCTGTCCCCAAGAGGGACTCGACTTGCTGGTGACACCCCTCCTCACACATCTCAGGACATTGTTGACTGACACCTCGGCTTTCCTACACTTTCTGCCTTGGCAGGATGGCGGTGGCTGGGCAGCCCTCCCTTTGGGCTGGGGAAGTGCCAAAAAGGAACAATCCCTGTGCTTTCTCCCTGGGCAGGACCTCGAGCTGGATCAAGGCAGATGCCTGCAGGGGGAACAGCACTGGCTCCTGGGAGTGTGAGTTGTATTTTGACAGGATCCACGATATCTACTGGGCGCGGGTGAGAGCGGTGGCCGGAGGAGAGCAGTCTGAGTGGGCCAGTTCCAGCGAGCTGCAGCTGTACAGAGACAGTAAGGACAGGGGAGCTCCTCCAGCTGGGCTCTTCCTGGGAGGGGAAAAATGGGGGGAGAGATCCTTGAAGAGAGCTGGTGGGATACAGTGAGAAATCGTATGAGGATACTGGTGGGAAAAGTGCTAAGAGCTCTGACTGGAGGAAAGGGATGGGGCAGAGCTGCTGGAGGAGGACTGGGTGAAGAGCAAGGGGACGGAGGAGGCACACTGAGGTGAGGATGATGGATGGGAGGCCCAAGGCCAACAGACAATGTGAGAATTTGGGTTTCTGGAGAATGCAGTGAGTTGGGGAAAAGAGGATACACCTCCAGGCTTGGCTCTTGAAAGGTGTTTTTGCTCCAGCAAGATGAAGATGGGGCAGGCAGGGGTAGGCAGGAGCAGCCCCTCTGGTGATGCCTTCACCTTGGCTGCCATGTTCACCAGGTGGAGGAATGTGCCACTTCTCAGTCACAAACTGTCCTGTCCAGAAAGCCAGGAGGTTTCTTGGGGACAGGAAAGACTCAAGACCACTGACACACCTCACAGGGGGTTGTTGCATGAACCAAACGTGCCAGTGGTTAAATGGGGTCAACATTCGTTGTTTGGGTTCCCTCATTCATTCCCTCTGCATCCAACTAGCGTGGAAATGGGTGTGCTCACCTAGAATGTGATTGCTGCCCTCAGCAGTGGGTCTCCAGGCCCTGGGGGATGGCTCAGGGGTGAAGGGCTTGGCACTGGGAGCGGTGGTGCCACAGGTCTGTCGGCATGAGGAGGAAGCAGAAGCAGTGTTGGTTGTCATGAAGAGGTGGTGGCTGCCTTTCCTGAAGCTGGTTTCACAACACAAAGTGCCCAGGGCGAGACCCAGGGAGCTTCTGCGCACTGGGAGGAGGATGTCAGATAGAAAATATCATTTCTAGAGAAACAAGATGCCTGCCTTCTTTTGAAGGACTTAGTTTTCTTCTTTTCTTTTTTCTTTTCCCCCCCCTCCCTACAGCAATTGTGGGGCCCCCCAAGTTGTCCTGGCTGCTCCAGGATCAAATCCTCCACGTAAACATTGCCACGCCACTCACTCCCTACCAGAGAAGAACTGGTTCCTACAAGCCAGTGGACCGAGTGCTGCTGAAACTGTGGTACTGGCTGCACCTGTACGAGGGGGACCTGCTTGTGCAGCAGGTGTGTGGCAGCTGGGCAGGGCTTGGAGCGTGTGGGGCTTGCATGAGATTTCCTGGGGCAGCAAAGCTGCTGTCTTGGGTTGCCTCAGTGTGGGGGTGCCTGTACCCCAGCCCTGCCCACACCTGGCTGCTCCCCCAGTCTGGGGCTCGCACCCCAGCAAGGCAGGAGACCCCTTTCCTCCCTCAGTCTGCATGGGTAAGGAGAACCTGTGACGGGTTCTGTTCAGATGAAAGGTGATGCCATGGTGGTTCCGGAAGGCGCTCTGGGACCTGAACACCTTCTGGGGCGAAGAGCCAAGCACTGGAGGTGCCAGGGAACAGGGGCTGTGGAGCAAGTGGGACACTGAGGCTGCGCTGGGCAGTGGAGCCATGCACAGCCACTGTGGTCACCTGTCCCATCGACTTCCAGGTGCCCTGCAAACGGAGCAGCGAGGACGTGCCGTGCACCTTCGGGCCCCTGAAGCCCAGCACACGGTACTGTGTCCGGACGGCAGCCGCTGGCATGGCCAGGGAGAGGAGCCGGGAGGCCGAGCAGTGCCTGGTGACTCCGGCAGGGCCCCCAGGTGGGAGGAGCACTCTCGCCAGCTCAGCCGGCGCGGTTGCATCTCGGGTCCTGCAGTCTCGCGTGTGGGTCCCTCACCCCCAGCCATTGTGATCAGGGTTGTGACCTAGCACTGCCCTGTGGGAACCTCTCAGGGTGATGCTGTCTCACCCTCTGCCTTGGGCTTGCCTCCTGGAACATCCCAGCCTGCCACGGGGGCTCCAGGGGAAACACTGGCACAGGGTGGGCTGGGAGGGATGTGCTGGTGTCTTTCCACCTGTCGGTCTGCTGTGACCTCCCAACAGGCTTTCCCTGGGTCCCTGCCGTGCTGAGTGCCTTCTTTGTGCTGCTGCTGCTGAGTGCGGCCGGGTTCTGCTTCTTCCAGCTGCACATATTCCTTAAACCCTCGGAGATGCACCTCCCAAAACCACTGGTGAGTGACGATCCTCCTCCAGCCTCTGCCCCATGTGTGCTGCAGCCGAGCTGGGATACCCTCTGTTTGCAGGGGCTCAGCACCTCCTTCCCTCCACCTCTCGCCCCACCAAGCCCATCTTGGTAGCCAGGTGCCTCCTCTGCTGTCCAAACCACTGTACCCCAATGGGAAGGTACAGGTGGAGTGCATCAGCCAGCTGTGGGTCACAGTGCAGGAGGGGTCTCAGCAGCACGGCCCCCACGCTGGCAGGGGTTTCGGCTGGCTGAGGCTGAGCCTGTCACTGCTTCTGTCCCTGCAGGCACTCCTGAACAACCAGCTGAGTGTGGCCATCCGGATGCCTCCCCTCGAGCTTGAGGAGGAGCCGCTGGCCCTGCTCCTGCAGACTGTGCTCTCCTCCTGTGGGCCACCTGCAGCTGGACAGGCATCGCCCATGGTCCCACTGTTCCCCCGAGGCCTCGCACAGGACGTGACCGGCTACTGTGCCAACGGGTTTGGCCTGGGCTGCCCCATGGAAGGAGCCCCATCCTGCACCCAGAGCCTGCTGGGACATGCCTTGGGCTCCCAGGTCCCATCACAGCTGGAAAAAGATGAGGAGACAAGTGATGGGGATGATGTGCCGGAGCAGCTGGTGCCAGTGGGACTGACCAGAAACAGCTACATAGGTGACAGGGACAGCCGTGCACCCGAGACATGGCTCACCCCGCACCTCCAGCTGTATTCTAAATGCCAGTGCCCAGCCCTGGGAGCAGGCAGACGCCTTCCTCTGCCCATGCCCGGCAGGAGCTGCAGTCAGGAGGACCTGCGGGAGGGCCTCGGCATGGCCAGGCACTGGGTCCCACTCAGCTCCGTGAAGCTGCCGGCCAGTGAGGAGGAGGAGGGAGGGCAGCTCCTCTGTGCTCTCCGGCCCCTGCCTGGCATGGGGACTGAGCCAGGCAACAGCACCATGCAGCGAGGCCACTCAGAGCAGGCAGCACCGGGCATCCCCAGCCCCTACCAGCCACCACCTTCGCCCGGCAACGTCCCGCGGGCAGCTGCCTTCTCCGGCTATGAGCCACGTGCCCCACCTGGGCCACCGTGAGGGGGGGCACCCTGGGGATCTCCAGGAGCCCCCAGCTCCCAGCACAGCCCAAGGTGCCCCCCAGCCACGGTGGCTGCCTGCCCCAACCTGCTGGTGCCAGGCTGGGGACAGGGCAGGGGCAGGTTCCCACGGGCAGGCACAGGAGTGCTCCAGGCTCAGCTGCCATGGATGGGCAGGATCCGCATCTCCAGAGCTTCCCTTCCAGGCTTTTGGTGCTATGGAGCCAAAGCATAAGGAGAAGAGACCAAAGTTCAACTCCCAAAACTCTTATCTATTTATCTACTTGTATGTGTGTATATGTGGTACAGTATCTATACTAATGCAAATTTATGTAACACTCATATATAAGCCCTCTTTAATGAAAGAGATTGGGGTTTTTTACTTCTCTGGAAATACTGACTGTGTGCTGGAGTTGTTTTTAAATATCACTCATTTATTACAGAAAGCTGGCTTCTGTGCTCGCTGTTTCTGTGTTACAGACCCAGCACGGCCGTGTCTGAACAGCAGCTGGGAAAGGCACTGGGAAAACCGGGGGAAGGTCAGCAAACCCTTTCTGTCCTGATACCTTTCGTTTGAGACTGGTGACTCAAACGTTTCCACCTTTGGAGCTGCATTTTGGGTTGTTGTTTTCCGTGTACACACGGCCATCTAGTGGAACCGGGGAACGGTGACATTGGGGAACGTCCACTAGATAGCGGTGTGTACTTGAAAAAGACGTAAATGCATCATGGTTCTCTCCAGACCACCGAATGTGAAGATCCAAAGTTGAAAAACGTCCTCAATTCAGTTTTGGAAACGGACGTGCAATTTCGGCGCTGGGCTCCTGCAAGCAAACTACAGCCCTTTCCCCCAGGGAGGAAAGCCCATACCCTCGGTGTCTCAGGTGCAGCTGGTGGGCTGCCCAGGGCGCTCCACAGGCAGGGTTCTGTCCTGAACCCTTTTGTCTGGGAGCAATCTTTGGCTGTATTCAATTTTGGGAGAGGGGAAACCTCCTTGTGCTGTGCCACAGGCTGGCAGCAGTGGAGTTCAGCTCTGCTGACAAATCCAGGCTCCTGGACTGATGAGATTTACTCTGGATCCGGGAACAGGTGAGAAACTGGTGTCCACGTCCACTGTGTTGGAGGTGCCAGGCTCGCACTGGGGCACAGCCAGTGCTCTCATCACAGCTGGCCAGGTCTTTGCAGATCAGAAGAGAACCAGCTCTTTCCTGAATCTGTGGCAGGGCAATGGTGCTGGGATCCCCACAGGTGATTCAGGCAGTTACTCAGTGGCAGCAGAGGCTCGCCCTGACCCAGGGGTGGCTGAAGCAGCTGGGATGTCCCCACTGATATGAAAGAGTTGTTCATGCAGAGTGGAAAAAGGCAGAAGGCTCGTGACATTTCAAGATGGCATTTAGCATCTGAAGTTTCCAATCTCTTGGATGCAAGAGGGGTTTTTCTGCTTTGCCTCAGAGGTGCAAGCAGCATGTGGGACTCTGCAGAGCCACAGGGAGAAAAGGTGTGACACTTGCTGGGACTGAGGTCCCAGCGTGTCCCAACAGAGACCTCTGTGCAGTGAGGGGTCTGGGTGGAGTGTCTGGATTAGACCCTGTTTTGCTCTACCTGACCAGGCATTTTGTGCTGAGCAGGATGGAGCTGGGTCAGGTGTAAGCCCCCAGCCCCAAGCAGGCCCCCAGCCTCAGGCAGGCCTGGCCAGTCCCTCCATCACCACTGCAGCCTCAGGCAGGTGCATACACCCGGCTCCTGCCTCAGCATCCCACACTGCCTCCCCAGCACGGAGAGGGGTGAGCCAGTGACCGGGCCTCAGGCACCCAGCCCACCCCACAGCACCATCACCTCTGAGGTCAGATGCCATCCTGGTGCCAGCCTCGGGCCCAAGGCACAGTGCTGTACCCGCAGGTCCTGGTGCGGGGGCTGGTGAAAGCTCTGACTCACCCGATCAACGGGCTGTTCCTGCCTTCTCTCTGTGGTGTTTTCAGCTTCTGCCGGTGCCAGATCAAAGCAACGAAAGAGATGCAGCTGCAAACAGCTCTTTATTAGAAACAGCAGGTTTAGGACTTTGCAAGAGGGTATTTCTTATTACTAATTCTTGGAGAGCGGAGCTGCCAGCCTATGAAAATGCTGGAGAGGGGAAAATTGCTGTGTGGGGGCTAATGGGGCTTTCACAGCCTCTGCATGGGAACCATTGTGCCTGACAAACATGGGGGACGTGGTGGCCCCTGAAACAACAGGGGAAAATCAAGCTTTAATGTTTTGCAGGCTGCCAGTACCAAGGAACATTTGCCTTTGAAAGCCACAGGAGGCAAAGCTACAGTGAGCCCACCCTGCTCCGCCTGCTCTCCCTCCTACCTGTCACTGCAGCTGCCCTGCCGCCTCTGGGACAGCCCAGGGCTATCCCAAACACTCGTAGCCACCTCAAGCACTGTCCAGCACGTGTTTGTGTATCTGGCAGGGACCTGGGACCTCACTGAGTGAGGCCCTCTCAGCCAGCCTCCCCGTGCAAGTTGCCTTTGTGATGGCTCCATAGCTCCAGATGGGTCCCCAAAGTGGGACAGAGGAGCAGCATTAGAGCTGTCGTGCTGGACCCCATTCTTCAGCCAAAAAAGGCTTTGTGGTTTGACAGGTCCAAGCTGCGATGTCCAGGCCACTGACTCCTGCTGCACCTCCCTCTCAGTGGTCTGAGCTGCTTGGCCTGGCTGGGAAGTTGACTGGGATGTGGGTGGGGACTGTGGGAGCCCCAAAATCTGGAGCCTGATTGTGGAGTGTTCGGAAAATGTGCCTGGAGAGGGCTGCAGGGCTGACAGGCTGCAGAGATGTGAACTCGCTGGCTCAGACCTGTGCAGTTTCTCTCCAGGCAGGAGCTTTCCTGCAGCTCAGCAGGTCAGGACCCAAGTGGGGCAATGGGGATGCTCAGGTCACCCCAGGGCACTGCAGAGTAAAATTGGTCCTGCTTTGTGTGCTGGTCTGGGAGTGCCCTCGCCTGGGGATGCGTGGCATGTGTCTGCACTCAGGAGGTGCCATGGGCACCCCGCTGAAGCTGAGCTGAGGGAGTTAGTTGTCACCCAGCTCTGTCACCAGGTCCCCTTGCTCTGCAGGATGACCTCCCCTGCGTTGGACAGAGGAGCCTGATCACTTGCCAGTGCTCAGGGTCTGTGAGACATGGCCAGTCCTTGTGCTTCCCATCCTCCAGGTGCACGTCAGGAGATGTCTGGTCTGTGGACAAGGAGCGGTGGCTCAGCTTAACACCTTCCCAGTCCCTGGCACTGCTTCAGTAGCTCTCTGCCCCTCAGGATCACTAATGCTGCCAGTGACAGCCAGCACCAGCAGAGCTGCCCTCTGAGCTGGGCACATCTCATATTGCACTCTGAGTTTGGGGAGGGTTCTGTGCTTCCTCCCCATGGCAACCCTCTCCTGCCCATGTCCTCACAGCACAAGTCATGAGCCTGCCTCCAGGACTTCATTCTGTGACATGAAACTTGGCACTCAGGGGATGGGAAACAGGCTAGATACGGATTTTTGTTTGGAGAAAAGTCCCAGCTGAGTGTCCACTTGGGATGAGGTTAGCCCGTGGTTTAGGGCGGAGAATTTCTGTGTTTTGGGGTGGAAGGTGCCCATGGTGTGGACCAGGGCATTTCAGCTCCCAGGCTGCTGTCCTAGAACTGACTTCAAAGCTGAAGGAGAGCCTAGGAGAAGAAAGGGACATCTCCCTTCCTTCCTTTACACTTCTTGGCTGTAGCCCAGCACTGCTGCAACCCCTTGCATGAGGATCTTTTCCTTTTTCTCACAGTTTGCTTCTGGAAGTTACCTGTTACCACTGTCCCAGCACCTTCCATTGGGGCCATCCATGCATGACCCCGCCCCTGGTGGCATGCACAGAGCTCTGGAATGTTTACAGTCCCTGCTAGGGAAAACAGGAAAGGGTCTGCAGCAGAGGAGGGGTGTCATGGGGTGGGGGAGAGGACCATAAGGATCCAGGGTGCAAGACTGCTTCTCCCATAGCAGTGGACCTGTGGCAAGGCAGAGTGACCACTGTGGCCTGGCAGGGACCTGCTGCTGCCAGCAGCAGATGAATAAATCCCTCTCACTGGAGCAGTGTCCTGTGGTCGCTCCATCCCCACGCTGTGCAGGGTCCTGCACCCTCCCACCATGGCGTGTGTGGTGTGGGCAGACAGCAGTGCCTGTGCCCTGGAAGGGGATGTCTCTCCTGACACATGCATCCCAGTGATCCAGGGCAGCAGAGGCTGGGGCTACAGCTTCATTTCTGCTAAATCTCAGAGGGGTTTCCACTGTAGGGAAGTTCCCTCCACCCCGCAGCACCCTCCATGCCAGCAGCCTTGGCCCCTGGCTGACAGCACACCAGCGAGGCATATTAAAATATAGTTTATTGCTGTTCTTAGTTTAAAAAACCCCAACAAACCAAAACCAAAACCCACTAATAACAAACCCAGTCCCCAAACCCAGGCAGGCTTGCGAGGACACACGTTTAGTGCAAAGAGGAAAGCGGCAGTGAGGGCTGAGGGGGCTCTGCTTGCCCTGTTCCCACAGAGCCCACTGCCCTCACTGTACAGTATCGATTCGTCCTGGGGTTGTTTGGGGAGGGCTGGCCAAATTCACGAGCTCTGGTGGGAGTCCTGGGGGAGCTGGAGGTGTCAGAGGGGGAGCATGGGATGTCGTGGCTGTGCAGAGCAGCTTTGATGCCTCATGTCAGCGACATGGGACAGGAAAGAACAGTGCTGAGCCCAGGGGCATCATACCTGCCCACACCTCTCCAAGGACACAGCACTTTGCCAAGCAGCCACTGCCTGCTCTCCTGGGCTCTCCAGTGTGGAAACCAAACATGTGGCCTATCCTGTGGCTGCTCCCAGTTTCAGGTGCCTGAAGAGTTAGTGGGGACCAGGGGTTGTAGAGTTAGAGCATGGCTGCATCCCCTGCAAGGTCCTGCAAGGCATGGAGAGGCTCCTTAGCTCTCAGGAGCCATGCGGGACCTTGCAGCCAGCAGAA